TTTGGGATGTGCATACATCTAACATGGTCCATAAAAATAATAATAAATATTTATGGTCAGAGAAAATTGCCTTAATATATCCTTAAAACTTGTAGGTTTTATTGGTCATTTACTATTAGCAAAATATTTTGCTATTGCTAGGTGTGCCCATAGTTAGCAAGTCGCCCATTTAATCACGGCTTTTTAAAAAAAGCTACACTTTTTTAAAAAACGATTTAATGTGCGTCTTTTTCAATAGATCGGTAAAAATACATGATATTTTCAAGAAGAAGTTTTAAACACAACTTTTTCAAAATTTAAAAAGATCGTTTAAAAAATCTTTCCTATTAATATACTCTCATCTTTTTTTTTGGAAAGTTCAATATCATTTTCCTGTTTTATGAAATTTTTATTTTTATTATCCCGAAACTCTATCTGGTTCTCTGCTATGGATATGGTTTGTATTTTTTCGGGTGGTTATGGGTAGACCATAGTTAGCAAGCATGGGTAGACAATTTCTTTATAGAAAGATGAAAATTGAATTCACCGACCCAATACTTATCTTGACGAATACAATAGATAATCATCTTATGTTAGAGATATATCACATTGAATATTGAAATTTATATTTATAGGGAGGTCATTTTTATACTGAGTGATATATATAGAGTGAAAGCATTACTCCTCGCTACTATTATTTTTTTCTATACTGAGTGATATATATATTTCGAGTTTTAAAATTTCTAATATTTTAAATATATTCAATTTTTTTACTCCGATTTTTTTAGCCTAGTCCGATATATTCGCGATCTCTTTACATGAAGTATTTTTGCCGATCCATATTCTTAACCCGATTTTTTTATCTGACTTTTTAAAATAAAAACGATTAGTTTTCGATTTCATGGTAAGCTGATTTATTGATAATCCCTTACTTGCTAACTATGGGTGTGTCCCAATAATGTGAAGGGATGCCCTAATTTTCACCCAAAATATTTTGTAAAAACTATAATAAAAATGAAACATTATTTTGACATAATATCATAACATGAGCGATCCAAGCCGTCCATTCAATTAAATGGTTCAAATTAAATGGTTGTAAAGTACTGTAGGGATCACGTACAAAACTTTTCCTTCACAAAAAATAAAAAATCCGAGTCGACACTAAAATGTTAGGTTGTGGTTTCTATAAGGTTGAGGCTCTAAAGAATCAAAGTGAGCTACACCTCGAAATAGTGTCAAAAGATGTTATTTCAGTACCATAAATCTTTGTGATGGCTTGAATTTTTTTTTTACCATAAATCTTTGTGATGGCTTGAATTTTTTTAAAAAAAAATTATAAAATTTAAAGCTTAAAAAATAGTGTAGATCAAACAAATCCATGAACAATTGATAATCTTAAAAATTAATAGTCTAGAAAATGCATTACAAGATGCACTATTTCCAATGCTTGAAATCCATTTTTTTCTCATGTTCATATATCTTGAGGTCGAGATGATCGATTTGATGATTTTTTAGCATCAAAACAATCTCTTCTAATGAGGGCCTCACCCTTATATAAACTAGTCCACGTCAACGATTTTTTGAGATAATTTGCCATTTTTAAGGTATCCTCCTTTTCTCTCTGGCTTGTAAACATTATCTATTATCTGCCTAACTAATCTAATTGTGATTTCTTAGCGGGATCTTGGAAGCTTCATTTTCTTTTTGTTTGTTTCATATGTTATTGTTGAGATAATTTATTATATTGGACCTCATCAATTATTATTGAGATAATTTATTTGTTTATTTATTTTTCTCTTGTTTTTAGGGCTGTAATCTTCCATTTTCTTGCCTTTTTGTTTATGCTCGTATTTATTTCCTCGATCAAGTTATTAGGTTTAGGGGTGACAATGGATTTGGACTCGAGGGGTAGACCTGATTGAGTGTGGGTATAGGTGTTGAGGATTGATGTCTTACTATCAAGTTATTAGGTTTAGAGGTGACAATGGATTTGGCCTCGAGGGGTAGACCTGATTGGAATGTAGGTATAGGTGTTGAGGATTGATGTCTTGTATTATGAAGAAATAGATCTATCAAGGTGGAATTAAAAAGATGACTCCGAAGGGCTGAAGGCTCGGAGGAGTCGTCCTGACAGGTTTACTTGATGGACTCAGCTCAAGGAACCTTTGAGGAAAAAATTCGGATATATCCATACATGGAATTCGATATATTTGAGATTTGATATATATCCGTATAAAGATATTTTAGTAATTTATACCATCTATCTAGGACAGAGGGATTGGGGATTCATCTAAAGTTATGGGTCAAGGGAAAGATGAAGATCTCTTTGTAATTACATAAAAACAGAGACACGTGGGATTAGGGGTTCATCTAAAGTTAATGGTCAAGGGAAAGATGCAGATCTCTTTTTAATTGCATTAAAACAGAGACGCGTGAGAAGGAGAGAGTATTGTAACCCTATTCTCCATTGCTAGTAAAGCAGCTCTAATCTCTCCTGGACATATGCACGTTGTCGAATCACGTATGTATATGTTTGCGTTGTGGTTGATTGTCTCTTTCTTTTGTGTTTGTTTATTCTTTTTTGTTTTTTGTTGATTGCTTTTCGTTTTTACAATAGGTTCAAAAATTAGACTTCTTTGTTTTTTGATGATTGCTTTTCGTTTTTACAATAGGTTCAAAAATTAGACCCGACAGGTTAGGTCTGAGTCCCACGCTCTATTTTCGGGTCTAATTCAAGGATCGGACCCGAACCTACCCATTGCCACTAATTGTTATAGTTTTAAGTTCACCCAAAAACAAAATTGATTATATGTTTAATGTGAACAGCTGGTAAAGGATCAGTGGAAATAGAGGCTAGACTCTTTACGTTTTTTAACATTTTAATATATGTCTTTAAATGCCATGGTCACCTTTGACTTTCAGGTACAAAACAAGAAGAAGAGTAAGGTGAAAAGAAACTCGTGTTTCATGTTGTTTTTGTTTTTTTCTTAATCGGATGCATTGATACTTGAATCAGAAACAAGGCATATGCTATTTGAGTCAGTAATTTACTGAAAAAACTCCCGGAAAATTTCATCATGTTACTATCTTTGAGATAAATGTTAGATATTTTACCCTCTATTCAATCTTATTAGATAAAATATATTTACTATATATACTAAATTTTTAGCATGTATGTCATCATTGTGCAATAAAGATTCACACCTTTTCTTCTCTCCTGAGAAAGTAGCATGTTCCTTTCACGCAAGCTTTCCATGCAGATACATCTCTCTCCTTGATAGAAAGGTTTATTTGAATTTGTAGGGATTAAAATAAAATTTTAATTTTTAGATTTAATTTTAACATTTGGTTTTTAAATAAAATAGAAGCCAGACTTTCTTAATTATTCTAAGCATGAATTTTCATTGGTCAACAAATTGTTGACAATTAAAACAAGGAGTTCAAAAAAATAAATCATTCTTGTACAATAAAGTCTAATGAATGAAATTTATTTCGATGCACAATCTACATCCAAGAGTTGTAAAAAACGCTTTAGATTTTATTTGAAAAAATATATATGGACCAAATTTTGTGGAAGAAATTGTTAGAAGAGAGAGATAAAATGGAATTTGATTGTTTATAGAGAGAGAAAGGTTGTTAGTAGAGGAGGCTGGAGAGAGAGAGTTGGCAATGGGGGTGAGAGAGACGCTAAGGTGGATGGGGAGAGAGAGAAAGCGAGAGAGACCCAAAAGTTTATTTTGGCCTCAAAGTTTGCTTTTTGCGGTGATAAAAAAATGAGACAATTTGTCTCACATCAAAGATTTAATGAATTTAAACTTCTCAAAGATTTAATGAATTTAAACCTCCATAAAAGCCTCACAGTTGTTGTGCACATGTGAGGTTGGTGGGACCCATGTGAAAATAAAATCTTTTTTTTAGATAAAAAATATGATGCAAGCGGCTCTTTATTTTAAAAATATTCTAAAAATACACTTACAAAAAAAGTTTAAAAAATGCATTTACTCAAGTTTCGTCATTGAAACCAATTCGGATTAGAATTTGCTGATTTTAGCCTGACCAACAGAATCGAACGGTTTTGTCAAAGATCTGATAAGTGATTAATTCAAGTAGATCTGATAAGTGATTAGTTCAAGGGGGACCTGGCCGATTCCCAATATATGACGTGAACTAGATCACCATAGACGATTATCGACTGAATCACTAAATCTTCAAACCTTCTTAAATTTCAAAAAAAGAGAAATTTGCCATTTTTTATTGGGAAAAGTTTATATAGAGCCGAGGCTCTAAGCCTACCTCAAAATTTTCATTAGAAGATGTTGTTTTCATATCCAAATATCTTCAAATTGATCATCTAGACATCAAGATGTATGGAAATGAGAAAAAAAGGGATTTTAAGTTTGGAAAAGAGTGTATTTTGTATCGTAATTTTAGACCATCAATTTTCAAAATTCTCAAGTCAAGTTTTTATAGATCTGTCGATCAACACTATTTTTGAAACTTTAAAATTTAAAAATAAAGATGAAAATATATTTTAAGAGTATTAAAAAGATTTCCAATCTTGAAACCACATTTCTTGATAGTATTTGAGGGTACGCTCTAATTTGTTAGTTGAGAGCCTAGGCTCTATGCAAGCCGCACCCTTATCTCTTAAGAAACATGTAACTAAATTTGAATTACCACCAAATCCGAAACTCTAAGGAGGAAGCTGCTCAAGTTGGACCGATGGATAAAGAAGAGGAAATTATTTTTGGGTAGTTTCCCAGAAAACAGTAAGGTATGAAAAACGTGACATAAATAGTACAGCTCCTTCACTGAAATTAGCAAAAGTTTTGACAATGATGGATTGAGACTTTAATTGAAAATTGTGTACCACTCCTCGCAAAAAAACCTTTTATTTATGATTTCACCACTCTTTTTTTTTTACCCGAAATTGAGAGAACGCGCCACTTCCATGCCGTGGTGTTCAAAGTTTCATGCCCAAACCCATTTGGTATTATTCGCTTTTTTAATTGTAAAAATGGTCATTTGTTGCTTCATTAAACGAAAAGTTGGAGTGACCCATTCTTTTTTCTTGTTTTTTCCTTCACTCATTTAATGAAAAGCAGGAAAAACCCAATAATCAATTGACTGGTTTTTGTGTACCGTGTGGGTAACTTCCATGCAGAGGAGTTGTATGGCCATTTGTTTGGACTTGGTGGTTATAAAATTGATGGATTTTTGAGAGAGAAAATTGTTGGTTTGTTTGTTTTCATTGGGTCTTTGGAGAGGGAGGTATATCTGGTTTCTTGACGGTTACATTTCCTCTCTCCAGCTCTCTCCATTTTCTCTCTCTTGTTTCTTGAGGGGAGGAGGGGTTGGGTTTTCTTCGTTTTCTGTGTTTTTGGGGAGGGAAAGTGTTGAAGGGAATGCGACTTGGGAAGTACGAGTTGGGGAGGATTCTTGGAGAAGGGAATTTTGGGAAGGTGAAGTATGCCAAGGATGTGGACTCAGGGCAAAGTTTTGCGGTGAAGATATTGGAGAAACAGAGGATTCTGCAACTTGATATCAGTGAACAGGTGAGATTCTCTCTCCTTTTTTTCTTTTTTTTTGTTTTTGCGAAGTTTAGGCTACTTTGTGAATAATTGATGGAGGTTGGGTGTTGGGATTTGCTCTGAAAGTTTGATTTTTGATGTTGGTGTACTTGATTTTTCGTTTTTTCCTTTCAATTGGGGGCTAGGGAGAGTTTTCATACTGATTACTTGTGCAAATTCTGGTTTTGGTCTCTCTCTTGGTGGTATAGCTGGAAAATACGGTCTCTCTCTCTCTCTCCCCCTACCTTCTCTCTCTCTGGGTGAAACAGCAGAGTTGCTTTTTCTCTGATCACCCCTGGAAAATTCGGTTTCTTAGTTGATTCTCTCTCCATCTCTCTCTCTCGTTCTCTCTCTAATCTCCATCTCTTGCTTCCCCCTCTATATTGGACACATGGGAGAACCCATTTGATATTGTCCGTTTCAATTTCTGATTTTTGATATCTTCTATTTTCTTTCGCTCCTTCGTCGACGAACAGGTTGGACATTCCTTTTACCTTTATTCTTGGAATTTTGTTTTGTTAATTTTTACTTCCTTCTGCAAAATCAGTGACCGGGTTTTGATGATATTATAGATCAAGCGAGAAATTGGGACATTGAAGCTTATGAAACATCCAAATGTGGTGAGATTATATGAGGTAAGCCTTTTGATTAAACGATATGCGGTTTTCTCTAAAACTGAAAGAAAATTCTTAGCGTTTTTTCCAGTGGATTATTCTTGGAATTTTTTGCTGTCTTTAATTTTTTAACGTATTCCATGCGAAGAAAGATTTGCAGAAGATGGAAGAAAATTAAATTGTTCAAGAAAAATAAGTGTAGATTGTTATAATAAGATTGAAATTTTATCTTTTTTTTATCTCCTGGTTTTATAGTTTTTTGCAGCTTAAAAAAAATAAGTTGTATGCATTTTCTTTCCAAGGGGGTTATAGTGGGTTATAATATTATCACCAGATTTTGACACATAATTTTTCATGATCTTTTTAATTTAAAATCCTGATTTTTTACAGTTTTCCAAGATTTAGCTCTTATATTGGATAATAAAAAAATCATAGCTATGCGCTTTAAGTTATTTTCCTCTGATAAGATACTGATACTATTTGGCTTTATTTGTCCCATTTATAAAGTAGTGTGTTTCTTTGAAATCTGCAGGTCCTAGCCAGCAGAACAAAGATTTATATGGTCCTTGAATATGTAACCGGCGGAGAATTATTTACCAAAATTGTGAGTACTTATTTTTATTGGGTTTATTTTTCCTGGAATAAAAAATTTCAACCTTTTAAATATGCTCGGTAAAATAGAAATCTTTTGTTTGGGATTATTTGTTTCACTGAAACTTTCTTCTGATTTGTATCTTTATAATTGTGTTATCTTAGGAGAGTAATGGGAGACTAAAAGAGAGTGAAGGAAGAAAACTTTTTCAGCAGCTGATTGATGCAGTGAGCTACTGCCATGACAAAGGAGTGTATCACAGGGATTTGAAGGTAGCGAGAAATATAGAATGATCTCTCCATGTTCCTTTTGTGGTTTCCTACCCCAATAAAAAAAAAGGAAAAAAAAATGAAAAAGAAAACAATCGACAGACCGCGTTCTTGTCATATAAAATTCAGGGTTATACTGTTTCATGGATATGATTAGCCTTAACAGGCATGAATTCTCTATTTCACTCATCTGTTAAATAATCACTAGATATATGCTTCCACCTCGATGACTGATTGGGCTTCCAATGAGCGAGACTGAATTTATTTTGCAGTAAAAATAAAATGGACTTTCACTGATATGAAAATGTGGGCTTGTATAATGAATTTGGCATGTGGAGGCAAATCAGGCTCCATAATTTGGGATCTCTGAGATCCCGGACTAGCGCTGCAATCTAATTTTTGGTTTCTTTATTCCAATATGGTTTCTGAGTAACATTTCTTTCCCTTTCAGCCTGAAAATGTTCTACTTGATGCCAACGGAAACATCAAAATCTCGGATTTTGGCCTCAGTGCTTTACCTCAACATTTTAGGGTACTTTATGAGAACCTTTGAAACTGACTATCTTCATATCTAATGAATTCCCTACCTGATCCTGAATTATCTGATTTCTCACAGGAAGATGGATTGTTGCACACAACCTGTGGAAGCCCAAATTATGTTGCACCTGAGGTAAGTGTGAAGCATCATATGATACAAAAATCTACTCTAATTTCAACTTGGCCTGGAAATTCTTCTGTTGTAGTGTGGGTTGTGATTTTAAAATAGAACTTTCAACTATTAATCCCCAGACCATATTTGTAACAAGAATCTACTCTAATTTCAAATAAGCATGGAAATCTTCAGATTTCAGTCTGGATTTCAATTTGGAAAATTTGAAGTTTTAAAATATTAAGTCCTCAAACCTCCCTACTGTTATTTATTCATCTTTAGTTGTCACAAGTCCAAAGTCATCTTTAAGCCTTATATATTGTTATTGGGCTGATGGTTTCTTATTTTTGTATGACATGATAACAGGTTCTTGCTAACAGAGGTTACAAAGGAGCCACTGCTGATCTCTGGTCCTGTGGGGTCATCTTGTTTGTCCTCCTTGTTGGATATCTTCCATTTGATGACAGAAATCTTGCTGTTCTTTATCATAAGGTAAACAACTAGGGCATTATAAAAGTGTTTATAGAAAAGGCTTTCATGGATTTTATTGGATACAAAATTTAAGTTGTAGCTTGCCATGATAATCGGTCCGTTAGTGTGAAAAGAAAAACAAATTATTTTGCAAAACCAAGCTTGGTCACTTAAATCCCCTAGTTTGCTGACATTGATATTCATGTTCAGAAGTGGTTATTCGCAATATAATGAAGTTTGGACAGTCAGCAAGTTTATATTTATACATGTCATTTAAAGTTATAAATGTATATAGCAGCTGCTATTTTTTTGAAATGCTAGTGAATAGCAAAGAGAGGATAAGCACTGGTCAACCAGTGATAGGAATTTCACTCCAGTTGTGAGTTTCTGAGTTCAGTTACTCTGGTTATGATCCAGATCTTCAAGGGTGATGTTCATATTCCCAAATGGTTATCCCCTGGTGCTAGAAACCTGATTCGACAAATTCTTAATCCAAATCCAAAGACAAGAATGACCGTGGCTGAGATCAAAGATGATGACTGGTTCAAGCAAGGATATATACCTGCAGTTCCGGAAGAAGAAGATGACGACATATACATTGATGAGTTAGATGCAGCGTTAGAGGTAGAAGATTTAGCAAACTTAAATACCTGAACTTGTTTTGTTATTGTTCACTTGATTTTATTTGCGATACTAAAACCAGTGAATTTACTCTGATGAAGTTCGCTAATACTGATGGCCATGAAAGCACACATCATCTGACGAATGCTTTTCAGCTGATAGGAATGTCAAGCAGTCTTGATCTATCTGGTTTTTTTGAAAAAGAGGTAAACATCTCTCTCTATCCATCCCTCTCCCTCCCCCCCCCACAAAAAAAAAGAAAAAGTAGTGATTTCATGAAAAGTAAGTATTTCATTCTAACATAGAACTGGATTGGTGCCTGATTTTTAATCTATTTGTAGGATGCATCGGAGAGGAAAATAAGATTTACATCAAATTACTCTGAAAAGGATTTGCTTGAGAGAATAGAGGATATTGTAACCGAAATGGGTTTCAGAGTCCAGAAAAAAAATGGAAAGGTTTGTCATTTGAAAACATTTATATGGTATTGTGGCATGCCTGGAAGTGGTTGTTTGTTTATGTGTGTGTTTGTGTGGATATTTAGACATTAGTAGCCATGTTTGTATGAATAGTTTACATTGGCATGATAGGGAATATATTACAATCAAAATAATCGCATTTTTCACGACATGTACAGTTGAAAGTTGTGCAACAGCATAGTGATACGAGTGCAGACTCACTCTCCATTGCAGCAGAGGTAAAATTTGTGGAAAAGAGATGTTTTTTTATGGTGGTTCAAGTATTAACCATTTGCTCTAATGTAGGAATTTGTTGTAAATTACTTTTAAGGTGTGATTATTTTAATATCCTACTATTGTGTGTTTAACAGGTCTTTGAGTTAAATCCTTCATTATATGTGGTGGAATTGAGAAAGTCACATGGTGATGCCGATCTCTACCGCAAGGTATTTTCCGCAAGGGATTGTATATTATAAAGTCATTCATTTAGGGCATCAAAAGGTCACAATCACCTATAAATATAATATATGAAAATGATAGGTTGAGGTGTGTTATAAGGTTATCCATTTGGAGCACAAACTGTCACAATCACCTATAATTATGAGATATGCAAATGATAGCTTGACCTTCATTACAAAGTTCAAAACTCTTTTTTTGGATTTTGAGCTTCGTCCACCCTTAATCACTTGATTTCACATCTAATGGCCAAAGTTGATTTTGACCTCTTTATGCCAAAATTAAATGTTCCTATTATGAAATTTTCCTTTCCATAATCCTCTTTTGGTTATCTTGTTTGATTATAAAGTAATTGGTTCTCAATTAATTTCTTATTAAAAGAGTTCTTGTGTGCCATATTGAATTTCATTTTTCTTTTATTATTTATTTATTTATATGTTTTAATGAATTTGCAGCTGTGTACAAAGCTATCAGACCATTTAGGTGTTTGCAGCAGCCAACAGCTAGTGACTACTTCGGCTTGAAAAGCTGTATTTTTTTCTTCTTAGAACAATGGAGAGAAAAGAAATATAATTGCTTTATTGTTTATAGAAATATAGTAATTCCCATTAAGTCAAGAGAATGGGAATTTTGTGAGAGAAGTCTCATGAATTCTTGTATTATACTGCTGACTATAGTGAAATAAGATATCTCCATTAGTCCTTTGTCCTTGTCTGTTCTCTTTTCCGTCTATTTACCTTTTTCCTTTTGGGCTACAGATCTCACTAGTTGCCAAGCTAAAGGTGGAATTGCAATCAATATTTAATTAAGGGAGATTATTGCTAAAGCTACGCCTTTATGCAGTCGCACCACAAATCTTGTCAAAGGACATTAAAAAAAAAAAAACCACATACCATTTTTCGCCACCTCAATAATGATTTAAGCCTTTTAAATTGGTCCATCCTGCAATATTTTGGGATATTACTATTCACGTCTTCAAAATACAATATTTCACCCAAGGGAGCAAATATATAATTTGCTCTTATTGTGACCAATAAAATCTTTTAAGTTTTCAAAATTTCTATTCCTCATAAAATTCCACGTGGATTTAAATCTCCCCACAATTACTTCATTAATTATCTATTTTAATGGAAAATTTCCGAATTTTCAATTATCATCATCCAAGTCTTAATCCATCTATTGGGGTCAGCTAAAAAAATCTTATTTCATCATTCCGCTCTATCAAAGGTTGTATCCATAAGTCGTCATATATCTTCTCATTAATTCTATTCATTTTTTTTTGGCCTAAAAATTTCCATAACAAATAAAAAAGTTATGAAGGAAAATTTTCCGAAATTAAATGGAGGAGAATCCACTTGTAATAAACATATTTCCAATAGTAAATTCAACAAATGGGACTTGGAAAAAGGTAGCAATCAACCAATCACTATAACTTCCTCCAATAAAAAAAGCATGTCCCCTACACGGTTGGCAGCTTATTTAATTTATCGTTTTCTAAATTATTTAATTTGTCCTTTTCAATAATTAAAGCCATTTTATGGTTTTTTTTTCTCATTGATTTGAAGATGGGGATGAAGAGAATTTTTTGTTGGCATGAGTCACATGCGTGTCGTATCAAGCTCACTTTTGGAGTTTTGATTCCATCTTGCCAGCTTTTCTTTATTTCCAAATTTTGACTTTTCATTTAATTTCTCTCCCATGTTTATAAATATGAAAAAAAAAAAAAAAAACAATTCAAACGTGTAAGTGGGAACTTTTCTCACATGTCCTTGGACCAATTCTCGTTAAGGAGAATCGATCCAATTTACTGATTTGCTCATCTAGATCAGATTTTTGAAGGCCAGTTCACCCAATGATCCAATTTTTGAAACATCAATTTTTTTATATTTTAGATAAAAAACACATAAGGAAACTAAAAAAAATGATATAAAGAGGGGAAATTTTGTAATATAAATATACATAAATATATAATGGGATATATTAGGATATTCATAACATATGAGTATTTAATTAATGCACTCATTGTTTTTAGACACTCTATATCTTTCTTCCATCCTAACATTTTTGCCTAGGGGTATTTTAGATAATTAAATATATGTAAAATTTAAATATGAAAACATTTATTATCTATAATAGAGATATCATCGTGACATCGCCTTCATAGGGCAATTATTGCTTCTCAATACTAATAAACGCCACTATTTATTTATAAAAATATTTATCCTGTACTTAATGAGGAAAAGTGCCCATATTAAAAAAAAACATTGTATTACAAACAAGAGTATACGAGTGTCCAAAAGGTGAGGTCGGTAAGGTGCACCACAAAATCTCATTAAAAGCTGCATTTTTGGTGCTAAAACTCTCATCATGACCTAAACGTCTATTTTCCACCCTTATAATGAAATTGAAAGCTCAAACAATGGTGCAAATCTAATAGATCTGAGCACTCAAAAACCTTGAAAATAGATGGTCTAGATAATGCGCTATAAGATGGACTAATTTTAGGACTTGAAATTCATTTTTTCTTTCACATCCACACATATCAAAATCAAGGTCAAGAGGATCAATTGGAGATTTTTCTAGTGACGAAACAACCCTTCTCAATGGGTTTTTGAGATGTACTTTACTTCTACAGTATAAGGTTGACATCTTGTATAATTTTTTTCCTTGAGGGAAATAATCATATATATGAGTACCCTACGATAATTCTAAATTATATACTTAATGTAGGGCCTCCCTTTAGAGGCTTTGGTGGTTCAAATTTGTTCTATAGTAGAATCCTTCGTGTAAGATTCACTTATTAGCGAAAAAATAAAAGAAAAATAAAACATGCAATAAAGCCAACTATTTGAGATTTGAGATTTATTATACGAATTTCATTTCACCATTCTACTCTATCAAGGATTATCTGTCACCGTCTCTTCTTATAATATTTTTGCATAATTTCGAAGGAAAAAATGAATAGCATTTCAAAAATCTATGTTCCTAGGAGTAATAAGTCCATATGAACATGAACACCTTATGAAAACAATAAAAACCCTACCTACATTGCTTATTGATAGATATTGCATCTAACAACTTAAACATATGAGTGGTCCTTCATGTGTTTGTTGATGGTGAGCTGGATGCCCGCCATTGGTTATAGACCACGAAAATTTGATTATCCCTTCATTATTTTTCGTCAATGTTCAAATAGCCCACTGAATGACCCGTGAAATTTATTAAAATCTACCTGTGGTGAAGTGTTAATGGTTCAAATTTTAAATATATGTTGATAAATTTCGTAAGAAAGAAAATTATGTTTACAACTATGTAGAATAGAGCTATTTTTTATTTTATTTTTATGATTTCCCTCTTTCGATAAAGGAAATATATATACAATGAGACTATTTACTCTTGATATGGGGAGATCAATATCATTGTTGACAGGAAGAATTGAATAGGGTGATTCACGATGTGTCATTGTTTAGGCACGAACTCTGAAGTAAAATTTATTGAATGTCGTGGTATACTTTCATCTATTGGATTTCGCACTAAAAGTGGTAATCTCCTTGCATGAGAAATAAATGATATCATAGTATACGGTCCCTTTGATAAAACCAAAAGTTTTCAAAATCTTTTGAAAAGTTATTTAATCGATATAATTTATAGAGCCGAGGCTCTAAACAATCAAAGTAAAGCGCACCTTAAAGTAGTGTCGAGAAATATAGTTTCAATACTGGAAATCTTTGTGATAGCTTTGAAATATATTTTTATAGTTAATTATAAAATTTAAACCATAAAAAATAGTGTAGATCTAGCATATCTATGAAATTTTAAAAATCTTGAAAATTGACGGTCCAAAAATGCGTTACAAGATGCACTATTTTCAAAACTGGAAATCCATTTTTTTCTCATATTCATCCATCTTGATGTCGAGATAATCAATTTGAGGATATTTGGGCATCAAAACAACGTTTTCTAATAAATTTTTGATGTGGTCTCAAATTTGATTGTTTAGAGCTTCCACTCTATATAAACTTTTTCCAATTTCCAATAATGGTTTAAAGAGAGACGCTATAACGGAAGTAATAACTTTTATAATGCTGGCACCCCCATACAATAAATAACGGTCAAGAGTTAAAAAGCAATGGGCCACACAATAAATAACGGACGTTTTGTAATGGCTTCATGCCTTGGTATCAAGTTTCCAATTTTAGTATATTACAATAATGAATGAAAATGGAAAAAACAGCCATCACTATCAGTCTATGAAAATAACAAAAATCACATCTTATCTTCAAAAAAGGACCCATATTTTACAAAAATAAATAAAATGTATTTGTTAATATTCACCCATTACATTCTCTTTTTTTCCAACTTTTTTCCTTTCATTTTTTTTTCAACTTTGTTTTGGTTAGACATCGTATTTTTCGATAGCAAATGTTACTGTTATCTTTCCAAGAACCGGTTAGGGGTGGCAATCGGGTCAGCTTGATACACATTAACACATTTTTATTTTTTGGAAACCAAAATTGAGTATTTTTGACAGAGAAATAAAAATAAGATATTTTTCATTGAGGGAGTTTTGTTAAAATTTGTTAGGATTAGAGAAAATGAAGTTACCCTAAATCCTCTTTCAAGATCTCCCAAACTCTCTCTTGGTAGGCTTTTCCTTATTTCAATGTCACGTGATACAATTAAAGTTTCAATAATGTAAAATAAAATAGCTAAAGTCACTCATGCGTCCCTAGCCCAATCACTAGGCATCGATATAAAATTAACAGAATTAGCTCTCGATTAAAATACTACATAATAATGGGAATTCTCTCATTTTCGTTTGTTATTAATCCGACTAGTGTTCTAAAAAATCGAACTGGAACGGTTAACCGGACATGGGTCTGGAATCAGTTTAACCCGACCTAATTGGTAAATTGATTGATTCAACCGCTCTAACCGGACAAATACTGAGCAGTAAAAAAAGTGTTATAAAAAAAAAAAAAAAAAGAAGGATACAAAAAAAAATCTACTAAACTATGAAAAGCATATAAAAGAATGATTAAAACAAAACATATTCAAATGAAGTTAAAAATTTTATTTTTTTAAAAATGGAATTTAACTCATTTTATATTTTCCAAAGCCTAATTTTAAAATTTTCTAAAAAGATGGAAAAACATAAAAGTGAGTATTAATGACCAAAACAAATTTTAATCTTTACTATAATGTAAAGAATATTTAAAAATGCATTACAAATCAAATTCTTTATTTTTGGTAATTTATATATATTTTTTTATTTTTTATTTTTTTAAATACCGGTTGATCACCTTAACTGCCTAAAACCGGAACCGGCCAATGATCGGTTCCGATCTAACCAATCAATTAGCAATTAGATTGAACGATTTTGCGAACAACGAATCCGACCAAATATCCATAATAAGGTTTTAAAATTGGGCGATCCGATTTAGATTGATTAGGCGGGATCTCTCTCCTCCCGCAAAACCCTTCGCTTTTATTTCTTGTTCCTTTTAACCAAGTTTTCATTGTTCAAAGTTTTGAAGCAATCCGGTGCGTGGGCAATCCAAAACGCGGTTTTAGTTCACCAATTGGATTACCGGAGGCAAATAGGTGGTCTATCTAAAAACAATTGAAACTAACTGTTCAAATGTTTTATGAATAGAATTGTTATTTATAATTTTTAAAATTTATTTATTTATTCATATTAATGATCTCCAGGTTAGAGATTACATCTCCTTAAAAATTAGATCCAAGAATCCATCGCAAAAATAGATTTATAAGAGTTGACTCATTTCTACATAGACTCAAAAACCGTGTCCATATATAAAGATAATTTAAAATATCCTCTATATTCTAAAATAAAATATATGAGATTAATATGGTAGCCTAAAAGCACCTCAAGAGTAGGGATGGCAATGGTTCGGGTACGGGTCAAGTCTTGGTTGGACCTAAACCCAGACTCGAAAAAAATTATGGGACCCGAACCCAAAGTTATCGGACCAAGACCCGATTGGACCCGCACCCAAACCCGACAGAACCTGGTTGGACCCTACCCAAAAACAAAAATAAAAATTATATTAATGTTTTGTTAACTATATATATTATTTAAATATTATAACTAAAAATATATAATTATATTTATTTAATATAAATTAAATATTATTATTAAAATATTATATATTAGATATTATTCATATAATAACACTATTCGGTTTCGGTCCATATGGACCCAGACCCGGACCACACCCGACCCGCGAGGTCCAATTCTTGGACCTATACCCGACCCGGATCAAGTCCCAAATCGAGTCGCATGTACATTGCCGCCCAGGATTAAACATACCTGGAATGTAACATATGGCCCTGACCTCCACGTTTTCATGTTTGGTTTGGGTGGAAGTTTCTCATTACCCCAAAGGACAAAAATGAAAATTATACAAACTGGTGTCGGGTACCTTTGTCTTTATTAAAATAATAGTACCAAACCTAGAGAGCATAAAAAGAAAGTACATGATAGCATAAAACCATGCTTCCTAATGTACTCATGTGTACTATGGTAGTATAAAACCAGATATCCATGTACTCACATTTGTACTACCAAAGTGGTACTTGTAGTACAACCAAATGAACACCTCTCACATGTACTTGTAGTATATGAATCCATCCGTGTGTTGTTTGAATTGGAATTCGTAGTTTAGAGACGAGGGAGAAGAATTGGGGTGAAGAATTAGGGCAAATAAGAGTGGGGATCATGCAACAAGGGTAAGAAATTTGAAGAGAGAAGTGTTTGAGAGCAGGCAGGGATGAAGCTGAGCATGGGAGGGTCATGACCAAACTCATCTTGCTGCTCTTGTCCTTCTCATGCACTGCCTCTTCCCTGGCTCTCCTTTATCTCTCTCTCTTTCTCTCATCCTTTATTCTTTTTTTTGTTTTGTAGGTGCATTTTATTTTGTAGTTTTTATACGCAATGTGGTTGAAACTATCTAGCCATCTGATCAAGATTGGACAACTGAAGTGAGCCTGCGGGTAAAAATTATAGTATGGCAAATTCATTGGCATTTTAAATTGTTTTCACCTCATTCTCAATTGTCTGATCCATCAAGGTCAGATGGATGTGAGTCTCACGACTAGTATATCACATGTGTATGATGACAAATAGGAAGGTTTCCCAACCTTGAGTTTTGTTTTTGTTTTCGTTTTTGTTTTTGATTTTCATGGGAAGTAAAGATTTTGTGGTTGGAGGTTATCGGATTTATGTATTGGTCGAGTACTATCTTTTAGTTATGTTTATAGGGAGGCTAATGATGTTGCAGATGGACGGGCAAGGATGTGGGTAGATTTACAATTTTTCACAAGTGGTACTTTAATTGTGTAAATACAAAATGTAAATCCATTTGTCTTGCATCATGTTATTAATGAGTTGTAAAAAAAACAAAAAAAAAAAGAGATGTAAATCCATTTGTATTGCGTTATGTTATTAATGAGTTGAAAAAAAACAAAAACAAAAAAGATTTTCATGGGAATTATCTTTGCACAGAGATTGAATATTGTGCTACATGCAGCATACTGTTTTTATCTATTGTACATGCAGAAGGCTCTTCATATGTTACCCATGTTCTCCACTGTACATCTCACTGACAGACTGTAAAAGAGATGAATCTATGATCGAGGAAGAACAGTGGACCAGTTAATTTCCACCTTCCATCATTGACAATCGACGGTAGAGGCCTACATACCCACAACATTTCAGGATGCTGCATGTAATATAGAAGAATTTCGATTTGGTATTGTGTAACGTGATGCTTGTAATACACTGTTTATATGTATGATATGCAGTCCCAATTGTCCATCACAAAGAACGGACAGTGTAGATGAACCATGTAATGGTGTCATTATTAATTTCATTAAAGGGAAATAAATCACCAGGTATGTGTGTGTGCGACATAGCCTTACTTTTGGGGAAAAAGAAGAAGAAGAGCAGCAGGACCTCTCTAGTCCACAAATAATGGAGCAGGTCATATCATATGCCTACCATTCACACTTGTGCTCCAGTGTTGAAAGATTGCTGCGCCGGGCCAATTTGTATATACCCGAATTGGTCCCACTTAGGAGCAAGGCAATCCGGCTCAAAAAACTATGAAAAAGCTCCAATATGTATTTCATAATTTTATTTTATTTTTTATATTGAAAATTGCTAAATTTTTGGAGAGATTCTCTAGAATTTAAAGGTTTTAAAATTAAGATACGCATGTTTGATCGATAATATATGAAAATAAATAGATTAACGAACATATTGCACAATAAACTTTTCTATAAAAAGTTAATTGTATTTTTGGACAGTTTGGACTTCTTCCATGGCAGATAGGCATCATCATAAAGAAAAGAAAATCTTTTTGTATCAAGTAGTTTTCTCTTTCTTAATGCAATGCTCGCCATTATCATGAAAGAAGGAAGTGATTTAAGTCATTATTCCTCTTTATTTGTTATCCATACTTCTTCTTTTTTTTAAAGAAATCTCTTAAGTGATAACTTACCAGAAATGCTAATAATTAGTCTATGTTTACCATGTATTTTTTAAAGCAAGTTGGTAATTACATTAATCTCAATATTTTTGAAGAAATTAATTATTGGAAGTTCAAAATTATCGTGATATATTAATATTATCGAGATAATATCACAGTGAATATCACTCCTAGAAATTATCAAGAGAAAAATTTGATAAATTGAAATTGTCAGCGTTAATTGTCACCAGGGTAGCGAGGTGGAGGTCAAGTCGGACTTTTAATTAAGGAAAAAGTTTATATAAGGTTGCAACCTTAAAATGTAGAATTACCGATGCATCTAAAATATCAATCGAAAGAGGTCGTTTTGATGTTGAAAAACCTTTTAATTGATCATCTCGACATCGAGATATATAAATATGAAAAAATAATAATAATAAAAAATTGAATCTTAAAAATAATGCATTTGCAACACATTATTTGGACTGTCCATTTTCAAAATTTTCATATGTTTATAGATCTATTTTATTTTAACTACTTTTAGAGTTTAAATTTTTATTATTAAATATGAAAATAGATATTGAGATAACCTTAAGAATTTTTTATACCAAAATTACATGTTATGATAAAATTTAAAGGTGTGCCTTAATTGTTTATCGTTGCAACTTTATAGAAACCACACCCTTTAATTAATCACCATGTTGTACCTTGAAATTCTAGTGAATCAAGTTAATTGAAGAATAGTATACCATGGACAAAACAATTTACATAATGAAGTTTTTACTCGAATATAACTCAAAGATTGTATATATACGACTATCTACCTTGGTGCAAAGAGGCCACATTTACTATTAGCCGTCAAATGTCAAATCTGACAGCTTGAAGAATGTCACAAAATTTGTGAAATTTCTTTTTGTACTTCAAATCCCGGTCAATATCTCCCCTTCAGCCCTCACTTTAAATCTAAAATCCTAAGGTAATTGGGTAATTGTGACATCCTTGTACTAAAGATAAAGAAGCTTATTGTATAGTTATCATAACTCTATATTTCACAAAGGTTTGGAATTTTTTTATTCATTTATTTTTCAGCTTTTCTTAGGAGTTCACAAGTTTAACGCTAAACCTTGTCATATGAAGGGGAGTTTGAAATAGTGGGAGTCAGTCATTTAATGTTTGCAAAATTATAAATAGATCAGACCACCACAAAAAACAATGTGATGGTTAATTCTGTTGATTTACCAATAAAGAGCCCTTGTTTCAAGTTTGGAACCTTGAATAGGTGAAGACAGTTTCATAATTAGAATGAAAGGATTTTTAAAATGATGCAACTTTGTTGATAAAATTGTTGATTTAACCACTTCATCAATTTTTTAGGTGGTTTTGACCATTTTAATGGCATTACCCCTTTTTTTAGATAACAAGAAACATAATTACATCAATAATCATGATGACATTTAGTTTTAGGTATTAGGTGCCTTCATCATAGGAAGAATAAAAACATGACACTCCCTTGGAGTGATGGAAGGAACAAATAAGCAACCTGCATAACAATAACCAAACCAAAATTAGGCATTTTAACAGAGTTGCAAAATCGAATGGCCATATACCCCATAATATGAAATAAATCACAATATTAAACTAGAAAAGAAAACTAAATGTTTTTGGCTCTATCTCTAACTCCAGCCAATTCCAAGATTATCTCTCTAAAAATTTGTAAAGAAAGTAGGACTCCCTTAAGTCTTCCCTAGAGTTTAAAATTCTACCATTTGAAATCAGCATAAATGACTATTTTTAGAACAAAAGATACTTGTAAATGAAAATCTTAAAATAAATTTCATAAATAGGAAATATTTTATGAATAATTAAAAATTCTAATTGTTTTATCTTGGCAAAAATAGAAATAACTAGAATGGCTAACATATATGAAAGAACAGCATAAATTTTATTAATTAGAGCTTCATGCAAGGCAAATATCATTAGCTAGTGATTACATATGCAAGCATGCATGAACGAAAGAATGCTCAACTATTATCTACAAGAGAAAATGCTTTCAACTCCTCTTTTCTTCCTCTGTGAATATGGAGATTACTGGTTTCCATTCAGTAAGCCCCTCACTACTAAATTTTGGAGTCCTCAACCATCCATTTTGAAAGTCTAGGTCATGGAACATGAAAACTTAAAACTCCATGAATCAAAGATTTATGTGAAATCCAAATAGAGGATCTTCCAGGGCCCTATAGAGTGAAACCATTTATCTTTGGTACAAGGTGGTGACATTAAACTTGAACATTGGATGTGAAATTGGGTGGCTCTAATTATTCCATCGACCAAGCTCAAACTTCAAAAAAAAATTTCTCGAACTTTGTGATAAATCCAAGCTATCAAATTTCCTATCGGATGGTTGTGAGTAATTGTGACCACCTTGTATCAAAGGTAAATGATCTCATTGTATATAATCCCTATCTATATATATATATATATGTGTGTGTGTGTGTGTGTGTGTGTGTGAAAAACTCTTAAAAATGCCTATAGGTGAAATTGAATAGTGTTTTGCCTTGCCATGGACTTGTTATGTCTATCGCGGTTTTACTTTAAAAACCGTTACGGATCTACGGAAGCAATGGCGGTTGCCCGTGTTTTTTTGCATGAAAAATACTCCTTTAATCCATGCCGTCCAAAAAAAATCGGACAACTCCAAGCCTATGTGCAAAAACACTGTTCATTTTCGCCCATAGGCGTTGTATAGTGGCTTCCTATATATATATATATATATATATATATAT